ATAATTTTTAAAAAATCCACGTCTCTTGGATCTTTGACAAAATAATTTTTAAAAATTCTGCGTCTCTTGAATCATTGGAAAAAAATAATTTTTAAAAAATACACGTCTTTTGGATATTTGGAAGAAAAATGTTATAAACTTTTAATACTTAACACTTAAAAAATAATTTTTAAAAAAATTCACGTCTGTTATTTTAAGAAAAACAATGTATGTTGGCGCTTAAAAAAAAGAATCCACATCTCCTTGAATTTTTAGAAAACCCAGTCTATTGGAATTTTTACAAAAATTATTTTTAGAAAAATGGACTTTAAAAAAAAATAATTTTTAAAAAATCCTCGTCCTTCGGAACTTTAAAAAATATTTTTTTTAAAAGACAACGTCCGTTGGAACTTTTACAAAAATAATTTTTAGAAAAATGGATTTAAAAAAATAATTTTTAAAAAATCCACATCTCTTGGATATTTGAAAAAAAATTAAATTCAAACAAATGTGTGAACTTTTAAAAAATAATTTTTAAAAAATTCACGTCTGTTATTTTTGCAAAACAATATCTGTTGGCACTTAAAAAAAACAAGAATCCACATCTCTTGGAATTTTTAAAAAATAATTTTTAGAAAACAGATGTCTGTTCGAACTTTTACAAAAATAATTTTTGGAAAAATGGACTTTAAAAAATAATATTTAAAAAATCCTTGTCTCTTGGAACTTTAAAAACGTAATTTTTAGAAAACTGGACTTTAAAAAAAAATAAAATAATTATTAAAAAATCCTTGTCTCCTGGAACTTTAAAAAAATTAGTTTTAGAATTTTAAAAAATAATTTTTAGAATTTTAAAAAATAATTTTTAGAAATACTCTAAATAAATATTTTTTTTGAAAAACCATGTTTGTTGGAACTTTTAAAAATATATATTTTAAAAAAATCACCTCTCTATGAACTACAAAAAACTAGTTTTTTAAAAAATGTCGGTTTGCTGGAATTTAAAAAAATATATATTTTAAACATTCACGTCTGCTGGAACTTGAAAAAATGTTTTTTTTTTAAAAAAAAATCAACGTCTATTGGAACTTTAAAGAAATATTTTTCAAAAATCCACGTCTCTTGGCTATTTAAAAATAATAATTTAAAAAAAATGTGCAGTGTTCCAACATTTAAAAAAATAATTTTTACAAATCCACATTTGTTGGTGCTTTAAAAAAATAATATTTAGAAAAAACCGATCTCTTGGAACTTAAAAAAAATTATTTTTAAAAAGCCACGACTGTTGGAACTTTAAAAGAAAATATTTTTGAAAAATCAAAGTCCCCTGGAACTTTAAAAAATTATTTTTTTCTAATCCACGTCGGTTGAAACTTTAAAAAAAAATTAAAATTCACGTTTGTTGGAACTTTAAAAAAATTATTTTTGAAAAATCAAAGTCCCTTAGAACTTCTAAAAATAATTTTTAAAAAATCCACGTCTGTTGGAACATTTAAAAAATAATTTTTAGAAAAACACGTCTCTTGGATATTAAAAAAAACATTAGAAAAACCGCATCTGTTGGAACTTTTAAAAAATCCACGTATGTTAGAAGTTTTAAAAACTAATTTTTTGAAAACTACTATTTGTTGAAACTTCAAAAAAAAGTTATTTTTAAGAAATCCACATCTATTAGAACTTTTAAAAAATAAATTTTAAATACTACATGGCTCATGGAACTTTATAAAATTAAATTTAAAAAAAAACTCATCTGTTGGAACTTTTAAAAAATTATTTTAAAAAACTACATGACTCGTGGATCTTTATAAAATTAAATTAAAAAGCCACATCTGTTGGAACTTAAAAAAATAATTTTTAAAAAATCCACGTCAGTTGGAAGTTAAAAAAATGATTTTGATAAATATCCAAATGTGTTGGATACTTCATAAAATAATTTAAAAAAAATCTAGCAACTGTTGGAAATTTAAAAAAATAATTTTTAGAAAAACCACGTTTGTTAGAAATTTGGAAAAAATACTTTTTATAAAAAAACCCCACATTTGCTGAAACTTTAAAAAATAATTTTTAAAAAATTACCATCTGTTGGACGTTTTAAAAAATAATTTTTAAAAAATTAACATCTATTGGACCTTTAAAAAATATATTTTTTAAAAGTCCACGTCTGTTGGAATTTCTAAAAAATACTTTTAAAGAAATCTACGTCTGTTGGAATTTTTAAAAATAATATTTTTGAAAATCCACGTCTGTTGGATTCTCTAAAAAAATAAATTTCAAAAAAGTCCACGTCTGTTGGAAATTGTAAAAAATAATTTTTGGAAAACCACGTCTGTTAGAATTTTAAAAAAATTAATTGTTAAGATATCCACATCTGTTGGAACTGTATTTTTCTAAAATCCACGTCTGTTGGGACTTTAAAAAAATATTTTTTTTAAGAAATTGTTAAATAATTATTTTTTAAAAAATCTACTTCCTTTGGAACTTTAATCAAAAAAGGTAATTTTGATTTTTCAAAAAAATATTGTTTTCAAGGCAGAGAATTCCAAGGTAACCCACCTTAATAAGTAAGTCGTGAATACACGGACTTTCTGAGATTTTTTTTTAAGTTTTCATGAAATACTTTCAAGAACCTCCTGACTAAAAAAGGAGATTTTATAAATTTTTTTCCGAGACGTTGAAGACTTATCTTAAAATTATAGATTTCCTAAAAACATTTTTAAAGACTTGATGGAAAAATGTACTGCTTTGGTATTTTAAAAAAAATCGAGTCCATATCTGGATAAAACCCGGGACCGTTTTAAATTCTTGTTAGGCTTCAATAATTATGGTCGTTTTTTTAAATATTTGTTAAAAATGTTGAGGCTTAAAAATTCTGATTTTTTTAAATATTTTTCCAAATTATTGCCCTTTAAAAGAGTTTCCAGGACAAGAATTATGAATTTCATGCAAAGGCCTGTGGTTTTAAATCCAGGATTTTCTAAGAATATTTTTACAATGACTGAATGATTTTTTTCAAGGACCTCCTGGCTAAAAATTATATTTCTTCCGAAAGGATTTTTCCATAAAAAAATATAACAATTTTCCTGTCCAAAATGGTGGATGCAGTGGATATCCTGCCTAATAACCTGGACTCCCTGGTCAGTCTGGGATTTTTTCACATTTTTGTAGGATCTTCAAATTAGAAAATTTTCAAAATCTTCGAGGTATGAAAATGATGCTTTTTTAAAAAATAAATCTAAATGATTGCCGTTTTTATAAATCAGGAACTTTTTTTCTGGAAACAAAAATCTTGGATTTTTAGAGAATATATAGAAAAAAAGGCCTCTGGTTTTCCAGGATTTTTTAAGAATATTTTTACAATGACTGAATATTTTTTTTTTTCAAAGACCTTCTGGCCAAAAATCATAATTTTTAGAAAAGGGCTTCTGGTAAAAAATATTCTCGTCTAAAAGCCGTAGATTTTTTTGCTTTAAGACATACCGGAAGAAGAGTAGTGGATATCCTGCCGAATAACCTAAATTCTCTGTCAAACTGGGAATATTTTTTTTTTTTGAATTTTTGAAGGAGCTTCCTATTTTCTTCCTACTATTTTTTGGGGAGCAGACAAAAAAATGTTGGATCTTTAAAAAAATATTCAGAAAAACATCTTCCTGGACAAGAATTGTGAATTTCGTTTAAAGGCCTCCAGAATATTTTTACACTGACTGAACCAATTAAAAAAAATATATATAATAAAATATCAGCGACCTCTTGCAAAAAATCAAGGATTTTTTTAAATATAGTTCAGGGCTTGTTTGCCCAAGAATTGAATTCAGGACTTTCTAAGAATATTTTTACAATGACTAAATGGCTTTTTTCCTCCTATCCAAAAATCAAATTTTTTCCAAAAGGATTTCTGGTAAAAATATAAAAAAATATTCCTGTCCAAAAGTCTTGACTTTCTTTTTCTTAAGAAAATCAAGAGAAATACCAAGGACACCAAAAAAATATTAAGGATTTTCTAAAAATATGGTTCAAGGTTAATTTGCCCGAGAATTAAATTAAATTCAGGATTCTCTAAGAATATTTTTACAATGACCAAGGACCTCCTGGCCAAAAATTATTTTTTTTCCAAAAGGTTTTCTTTTAAAAATATAAAAAATATTCCTCTTCAAACGTCACGGAATTATTTCTTAAGGACATTAAGAGAAATTTCAAGATCTTCTTGCCAAAAAATCAATGATTTTTTTAATATTGACCAAGGAATTTTTTGCCGAGAATTAAATTCAGGACATTCTAAGACTAGGACCTTCTAGCCAAAAATCATATTTTTTTACAAAGAGTTTTTGTTAAAAATATAAAAATATACCTGTCCAAAAGTTGTGGATTTTTTTCCTTGAGGACCTTAAGAGAAATATTAAGGACTTCTTGCCAAAAAAAAAAAAAAAAAATACAGGATTTTTTTTTTTAAATATTGATCAAGGATGATTTGCCCGAGAGTCATGGATTTTTTTTAATATTTTTCAAGGAATCTTTGGTAAAGAGTTGCGATTTTTATAAAAACTATTCTTTGAGAACTTAATGTTTAAAAATTTGCGAAAAAATAATTTTAGATGTTTCAATAGCATCCAGTGTCTACAACTCAAAAAAAAAAAAAAACACAAAAAACAAAAGATTGAGGTATTTTCTCACTTAGCGAAAAAAGGTTGATTTTTTTCAAAAAATTGCCCAAGACTTTTTCATGGAGTTTTTATTTTTATATGTATATAATTTTATGATTTTTATAAATAATAAAAAATCCATGCCAAATTCTTTGAACAGTTTTTTTAAAAATTTAACTATTATTCGGCTCAATAAGTTTTTAAAATTTTTTCCAAGACTTTTGGCATGGATTTTTTTATTTTTTATTTTTTTATAAAATTATAATTATAATATTTTATATATAAAAAATAAAAAATCCATGCCAAAGTCTTGGAAATTATTTTAAAAAATATTTATATATTTTTCTAAATCAAAAACTAAATAAATTTCTCTCTCAAACTTACCTTACATATACCCTCAATACACATGGCCCGTCCACGATAATTCGATCGATAATATTCAGCGGGCTTCTCGCAGGGGGTGCCATCCAATACGGAGGCATTTAATGTGGCGAAATATTTCATACCCACCGGCTTGCAGTTCAGCTCGCACTCGGCGTCGTCTATTGAAGGGGAAAAATTTAACAAAGAAAAAAAAAAATGGAAAAAAATAAATTTAATTTTAAAAAATATTATTTCCATACCTTTCACATAGGGTTCCCACGAATACTGCTGGCCCTGAAAATCAACCTCATCGTATGCCGAACATTGTTCCGAACGGAAATCTTGAACAGAGGATGGACAAGGCTGTTGAGACAAGAAAGAGAGAGTGAGAAATGTAGGAGATATTAAATATTTGAATGTTTTTTATTTATTTCTTATTATCTTTTTATTTATTTATTAATTTTTTCTTTTTTTGGAAAAAATCGTCTACATACCACATCATTACATAGCTGATAGCGCTTGTAGACACCAATACAATTTTTGCTCAAATACACTTTGCCATTGGATGAATTGCTGCAAAAAATAAAAAAAAGGAAAATATTGAAAATAATCACATAAAATTATTTACATGTGTAAGTTTTTCAAATATACTTTTTTAAAAAGATTTGTGAAGGGTTCATCTTAATGGTATGGATTTTTGAAAAAAAAATTAAGGTCCATCATTGAAACCTGGATGTTAGATTATAAAAAAATATATATTTTTTTTTCTACAACGATTTGAAACATGGAATTTTAATAATATTCTTAGCAATGAGTATTTACGGCGTAGATTTTTTTCAGAAAAAAAATATTTTTTGACCACTCTTCGGAGCGTGGGCTTTTTATTTTTTTTTTTTCAAAAAACTACTTGAAGAAGTGATTTTTAAAAAAGAAAATTTTTTTCAGGGACCTGTAGAGATTGGGTTTTAAAAAATATATATATTTATAAAAGATATAAGTACAGGCTGAGATAAAAAACTGCAACAAAGTCAAACGCCATATTTTTTACATTTTTATTTAGATTTTATTAGATGAAAGCAAAAAATGTCGGAAATAGCATCAAATTTTAGAATAAGTTTAGATTTATTCGAATTGGTCACCTTTGACATGAATTATGGCCTTTAAACGGCCAATGAAACCGTCACACGCTGCCCTGAATGTTGCTTTGCGCTATTTTGGCCCATTCCCGGCGAAGCGCTTGCTTGAGGTGATCGACACTTTGATATTTTTTCGTGCCAACCTTGCTTTCCAAAATACTCCGGACACAATAGTCCAACGGATTGGTATTCGGAGATGTTGGTGGCCATTGTGCGCTGGAAATTAATCGTGTAAACTCATTTTGTAAATATTCTTGGGTGGCGCGTGCCGAGTCCTGTTGGCATGTCCAAGGTCTGCGGCCAAAATGTTTGCGTGTCCAAGGCTTTAATACACCCTCCAGAATATTTTCGCGATAATATTCGGCATTTATTCTGATGCCACGGCCGATTAATATGAGCGGAGAGCGACCATCGACTGTTATGGCGGCCCACACCATCACGATGGCCGGCGCTTGTGTTCTGTTCTGGTGGTCAACCGAAGGTGCACATTTTCAACTGACCTCTTTGGCAAGTAAAGGCGATCATTTTGTTTGTTTACAAACTGCTGGACAGCGAATGTTTTCTCATCGGAGAGAGAGAGAGAGAGAGAGAGACAACCAAATTCGGCAGTTCACCACTTTCGGCCAAGCAATGCAACTCTTTACCTGTTTTGAGTTTATTTTCCTATTGTTGCGGTGTAAGTTCTTGCACTTTTTGGAATTTCAATGGCTTTACCCCGAGCTCCCCCGATTTTTCAATACTTCCAGAATGAAATATTGCGCTGTGTTCTGCTCAAGAGCCATTTTTTCAGCCACTGCAACACGGGTTTCGATCAAGTCTCTTCTTTACATTTCGTAGCATTTCTAATGATGTTGCTGTTTTCTTTCGTCCACTTCCTTGACGTCGGGTTACCAGTACCGCTACCAGTATCACGATAACGAGCGATGTTATGAGACACAAAAGATTTATTCACATTTAAATGCTGGAGTGCTCTAACGATAGCCATAGCCACTTGTGGAAAACCACAAGCCACATATAAATAAATCACACTGTCACGCTTGAATTCCGAACTCTCAATTAATTTTTTTTTTCTGGATAATTCTCGCCAAAATGCTTTTGTACGCTTGTAAACAATAAAATGAGCTGGCACTGGATGAATTTTAACAGCTGTCAGGTGAGTGACTTAGAAATGACAGCAACCTGAAATTGGTTGCAGTTTTTTCATCTCACCCTGTATAAATATGGGTGGATTTTTGAAAATATTTTTTTCATATTTTGTGATATTTTTTTTTAATTTAAATTGTTTATAAAAATATTTTTTTTAAATGTGGATTTTTTAAAAAAAAATTTTTTTCAAACATTAAATATTTTAAATATTTTTTGAAGCGTGAATTTTTTTTTTAAATACTTATTTTGATGAGTGGTATTTTTTTAAGTATTTTTTGAAACATTGATTATTTTTAACTATTTTTTACATTTAGATTTTATAAAAGTTTTTTTTTAAAGCGTTCATTTTTTTTAAATTGATATCTTTAAATATTCTTAGAAGCATGGATTTATTAAAACTTATTTTGAAATGGGGATTCCTTAAAAATATTTTTTTAAGAGTGGATTTTTGAATACATATTTTGGAGCGTGAATTTTTAAACATCCTTTTTTGATTTTTTTAAATAAATATTTTGTGTCGTGCATATTTTAAAAACATTTTTTTAAGGCATGAATTTCATAAATAAATACATATTTTGAAGCGTCGATTTTTTTTAAAATATTTTGTAAAGCATGAAATTTTTTAAATATATTTTTAATATTTTTTGATGCAAGGATTTATTAAAATTTTTTAAAGCCTGATTTTTTTTGAATCTTGGTTTTTTAAGCATGGATTTTTTTAAAATATTTTTTGAAGCATTTTTTAAATATTTTTTGAAGCGTGGATTATTTTTTACTATTTTTTACATTTAGATTTTATAAAAGTATTTTTTGAAGCGTTCATTTTTTTTTTTAAATATATTTTTTGAAGCATTGATATCTTTAAATATTTTTAGAAGCATGGATTTATAAAAACTTGTTTTGAAGCGGGGATTCCTTAAAAATATTTTTTGAAGCGTGGATTTTTTGAATACATTTTTTGGAGGGTGGATTTTTTAAACATACTTTTAAAGTGTTGATATGTATATATATATATATGTTTTTTTTTTTTTTTTAATTTTTTTAAATACATATTTTGAGTCGTGGATTTTTTAAAAACATTTTTTAAGGCGTGGATTTCATAAAAAAGTACATATGTTGAAGCGTAGATTTTTTTAAAAATATTTTGTAAAGCAGGATTTTTTTTTTAAATATATTTTTAATATTTTTTGATGCAGGGATTTCTTAAAATTTTTTAAAGCCTGATTTTTTTGAATCTTGATTTTTTTAGTATGGATTTTTTTTAATATTTTAAGAAGCGTGGATTGTTTTAATTATTTGTTTTTTACATTTTGTTCGTACAAAAGTATTTTTTGAAGCCTGGACTTTTTAAAAAATATTATGTGGAATTTCTTAAAAAAAAATTTTAAATAAGTTAAAAAAAAAATATTTTTTAAAGCGTTGATTTATGAAAATTATTTTTTGAATCGTCAACTTTTTTAAACATTTTTTTTTGATGCATGGATTTTTTTAAAATATTTTTATTGAAGCGGAGATTTTTATTGAGGAATATATACTTTTTGTCGAAAATTTTGACAAGTGTTAAAAAAAAATCCATAATTCACAATTCCGGTGAAAGTACCGAATATCAGGAGGTACCGTTATATGGGGGCTATAGAATACGACAATTTTCTGTCTTAGGCTGTAGTATCCATTACGAACTTCAAATATCAAATTTGAAAAATTTTCGGTGAATAATGTCGCTAAAATTATGAAAATACCGAAAAACGGGAGGTACCATTACATGGGGGCTATACCATAACATAGACCTATATGACCGATTTGCAATACCAAAAGTCCTGCAGACATAATACACATTTGAATAAAATTTGAAAATCCCGAATATTGGGTGGGAAGGGGGGGGTACCGTTATATGGGGACTGTACGAAGGCGTGGACCTGCACAGACAATTTTCTGTCATGGGCTGAAGCATCCATGACGAACTTCAAATGCGAAATTTGAAACAATTCCGGTCAATAATGTCGCTAAAATCATCAAAATACCGAATATCGTGAGGTACCGTTATATGGGGGTTATACGAAGACGTGGAGCTACATGACCCATTTTTAATACCAAAAGTCCCGCAGATATAGTACACATTTGAGTAAAATTTTATCAACCTACTTCATTTCGTTCGGAAGCTAGAGTGATTTCAACATACGGACGGACATTGAAAAATCGGCATAGAATTTTATGCTGATCAAGAATATTTATATATACTTTGTGGGGTCTAAAATGTATATTTCGAGGTGTTACAAACGGAATGATAAACTTAATATACCTCCATGGTGGAGGGTATAAAAAAATATTGCATTTATACCTTACTTTGATAAACTGTTGAAGTTAGTTAGTCAAGTTAGCTGCTCTTCTTAGAAAAAAAAAATTTTTCAATAATTTCACAATTTAATTGCTTGCAAAATAATATTTTTATTTTTCTTCTTCTCTCCTACCTTCTATCTCTCTCTCTTTCTTTGCCACACAATCTGTAGCAAATAAATCTCCCAACCATGTAGAAAACTTAATGGGAAAAAAATATTTAAATAATTTTAATGAAATTCCTCATAAAACCATAAATAAATTCCAATTTTAATTAGACAATCCCAGTCAATGACATTTTGCAAAAATTCAAAAAAAAAAAAAAAATAGAGCAAATAATAAATGAAAAAAAAAAAATAAATAAAAATAAATAAAAAAAATCATAGATTCCGGTATAGCTCAATTGCAAAAAAAAAAACGGGCTTTTTTTGCATAACTAAAACATGGAATCATCGGCAATAATTCATGGAATATTATGACAATGGTCATTAAAACCAAAAATTTATATGGATGACCCATTGTCAAAACAAACAACAAGAATGAGGGGGTATACACACACCCATACACACATAAGAATATATGAAGGTTAATGTACTGTTCTTAGAAATTGTTTTGTCATGTCTCCATAATTGCCTTAATTTCCTACAAAAATTATGTTTTTTTTTTTTGTTTTTAGAAATTGATGATTATGTTTTGAATTCTGGCAAAATTCTTCAAGGGCTTAAAAATGTGGAACACTTCAACAGATGTTTGAATTTTTTGGAAGTGTTTTTTGCGCCAATTTAACATGTGTCAAAAAATTAAGGACATGTGTTGTGTGAAAAAAAACATTGTTCTTAATTCAAATATATTAATTCATCTTAATTCAGCTGATATTTAAAATGTATACTTTAATGAAAATTCTTATATATTTTTTTCTACTATTCTTATATTTTTCCCTGTTTTTGTTTTGTCTGTAACCCTTTTTATTGTTCCATTAATTGATCATATTTTTATTGTTTTGATTATCAATTTGTTTAATTTTCCTATGACGGAATTATTGCTCTCACCCACGTTCATGGGAAATTAATCTTTGTTACAATGTCAAATTGTGAAAATGTCAGTGGCTTTTTTGCAGATCCATAGACCAGACGAACTCATAAAATATTAAAAAAGGTGGTTACAATTCTGCTGATCAGTGCAAAAAATCAATATAAAATTTACATTTAATATTCTAGAGAAATCCACAATTCATGATGGAAAGTCCTTTATTACACTTTTTAACCAAAAAAAAAAAAAATTATATATATATATATATTTTTTTTCTTAAATTAATGATTTTTTGGGAAATTTCTTCTTAAAAAATGTAATAATTCCGTTTTTTTTTTTTTTTTTTTTTTTTGCTAAAATCCATTTTTTTTTTTGTGGTAGGGGTGTTTGGTATATTTCTTAACAAGTAAAAAGCTGTAAGCCCGGCCGGCCGAACTTTGAATACCCTCCAGCATTCGGAACGAATTTGGCAATTCTCAAAAACAATAAAATCCATTAAAAATTCTGTTAAAATCTTAAAAATACAGAAAGTAGCCGTATATTATACGACGACGTAGACCTGCATAAGTAACTTTTGTCGTAGGCTATTACAATATTCAAATGTGAAACTTGAAATAAAATCTGTTTAAAATGCAGATTAAATCATCAAAATACCGAATATAGGGAGGTATAGTTATATGGGGGCCATACGAAAACGTGGGCCTGCACAGACGATTTTCTGTGTTAGGTTGAAGTATCCATTACGAACTTCTAATACCGAATTTGAAACAATTCCGGAGAATAATGTCGCTAAAATCATCAAAATACCGAATATCGGGCGGTACCATTATATGGGGCCATTACGAATACGTGGACCTGCACAGACAATTCTCTGTAATAGGCTGTAGCATCCGTTGCAAACTTCAATTACCAAATTTGAAACAATTCCGGTGAATAATGTCGCTAAAATCATCAAAATGCTGAATAACGGGAGGAACCGTTATATGGAGGCTATACGAAGGCGTGGACCTGCATGGCCCATTTACCAAAAGTCCTGCAGACATAACATACATTTGAGTAAAATTTTATCAATCTACTTCAATTCGTTCGGAAGCTAGAGCGATTTCCACAGACGGACGGACGGATAGACGGACGGACATCGCTAAATCGACATAAAATTTTATGCTGATCAAGAATATATACACTTTGTGAGGTCTAAAAAATCGGTAATAATGTAGCTAAAATCATCAAAATACCGAATATCGGGAGGTACTGTTATATAGGCTGTAGCATCCGTTGCAAACTTTTACAAAATTACCAAATTTGAAACATTTCCGGTGAATAATGTCATTAAAATCATCAAAATACCGAATATCGGGAGGTACCGTTATTCGGGGGCTCTACGAAGGCATGGACCTGCACAAACAATTTTCTGTCGAAGGCTGTAGTTTCCATGTCGTAGTATAATGTCGCTAAAATCATCAAAATGCTGAATATCAGGAGGTACCGTTATATTGAGGCTACCACAACGTGGACCTACATGGCCTATTTTCAATATCAAAGGTCCTGCAGACTTAATATACATCGCTAAATCGATATAGAATTTTATGCTGATCAAGAATATATATACTTTGTGGGTTCAAAAATGTATATTTTGAGGTATTACAAAGGGATTGACAAACTTAATATACCCTCCATACTATGGTGGAGGGTATAAAAAATAAAGAAATTCTGATTGTTTACCAAAAAACAGAAAACCAATCAAGAATTTCTTTTTGTCAAGAAGGTCCTTGGAAAAATATATCTAAAATTCCATGATTATTTCTGGGATACCCTGTCTACAAATTTTGGTATGGAGGTCTTCATACCAAAAAAAAAAAAAAAATTATTTAGAATTTTTGGTCATTAGGTCTTTGAATCCTTGTAAAAATTGACGTTCTTTGAAAAGTAGGTCCTTGCAAAAATATTTCTAAAAATCCATGTTTTTTTAACAGGACACCCTTGTCTACGATTTTTGGCCAAAGGATCGAAATCTTAGAATTTTTGGTAATAAGGTCTTTCAATTCTTGTAAAAATTGACGATTTTTCAGAAGGAAATGATATCTAAAAACCCAGGATTTTTTTCAGAATAATGTTCTAGAAAAATAAAATAATTCTGGTTTTTACCAAAACAATTCACAAAAAATCGGAGATTTTTTAAAAAGTAGGTCCTTGCAAAAATATTTCAAAAAATCTATGATTTTTACCAGGATACCCCTACCTACCATTTTTAGCCTGAAGGTCTTCATACAAAAAAAAAATTTAAAGAATTTAGTATTTCTGATCCTAAAATATTTGGATCCTTCTAAAAATTTACATTCTCTGAGTAGGAGGTCCTTTCAAAAATATTTCTAAAAATCCATGTTTTTTAACAGCATACCCTTGTCTGCGATTTTTGGCCAAAAGGTCACAATCTTAGAATATTTAGTAAATTTTTTCAGTAGGAGGTCCTTCAAATTGATTTCTAAAAACTCAGGATTTTTCAGAATGCAGCCTTTAAAAAATGTTTTTTTACCAAAAAAAAAAAAAAAAAAAAAAAAACAAAAAAAATCAAAGATGTTTTTGAAAAGACGGTCCTTGCAAAAATATTTCTAAAAATCTGTAATTATTTTAAAGGATACCCTGTCTATTATTTTTGGTCTGGAGGTCCTCATACAAAAAGAGTCTTAAAGAATTTAGAATTTTTGGTCATTAGGCCTTTGGATCCTTGTAAAAATTGACGTTCTTTGAGCAAAAGGTCCTTGCAAAAATATTTCTTAAAATCCATGATTTTTACCAGGATACCCTACGATTTTTGTCCAGGAGCTCAAAAAAATCTTAAAGAATTTTTGGTCATGTGGTCTTTCAATCATTGAAACAACTGATTTTTTTTCAAAATTATTTCTAAAACTCCATGATTTTTACAAGGATACCCTTGAAAGATCTAAGACTTTGAACCAGCAGGTCATCGTACAAAAGAAAAATCTTTAAAAAATTCAGGTCGGGTTGTTTGTCCAGAAATTTTTGACAAGACCACGATTTATATAACCGGAAAGTCAATGAAAAATATTTTCACAAAGTCCATGATTCTTAATCAGGATATCCTTAAAAAATATTTAAAAAAATCAAAGATTTCTGGCAGGAAGACCTTGAGATATTTTTTATGAAATCTTCTATTCTGGTCCAGGAAGTCTTAAAAAGAAATATCGGACAGGACGTTTTTGAACTAATTCAAAATGCTCGGCTATTGGGCAAGAAGTCCTTAGAGAATATTCCAAAAAAAAATCAGGATTTATATATATAAATATCATTGCATATATGTTCTAAATTTAAAAAAAATTTATTTATTTATTTGATTTTGAAAATATTTAAAATTATTTATAAACTTTATATGATTTCAACAAATATTATTTGTATGTTTAAATATATTTATTGTTTTTAAAAATAATTTTTTTAGATTTATTTTTTATTTCTATAGATTTTTAAAATATTTTAAATTTTTTTGTAATATATTTTTTAACTAATTTTTTTAAATTTCATAAATTTTTAAAATATTTTCAATTTTTTTCAATTCAATTTTCAATTTTTTTTTACTATTAAATCATAATATTCCGATTTGCTTTAGAAAATCCACAAAAAATATTTATCTACAATTTGACCCTGACTAAGTGGCATTCCATTCACATGCCGCCTCCCCACACACACTCCCCCTTTCATAGGCCCCCTTTCATAGGCCCCCAATGTTGGGCAAATACTCCCACTCAGGGCCAGACGGTGATTATGACGATTTGAAGAAAATGAAACCAAAAAAACAACAACAACAATTATCGCAATAGTTTTCAGTTACAATTTTTGTTGCAAATCATTTTGTTTTGCGTTCTACTAATCGTTTTCCTATTTTTTTCTAAATACAAAACAAAAACGAATTGAAAATACAGATGAAACCAAAAACTACAACAACTATTGATGATTTCATTAAATGAAAAAAAATAAATAAATAACGACGACTAAAATATGTAACAAATTTTTACTAGTAAATACTGGCCCGCCTGGAGATGGGGTTTGGGTGGATGGCTGGCTGACTAGCTGCCCGCCTGCATTCTTTATTTTCCAATAAATATATATAACGTTTTTTTTTTTTTTTTTTTTTTTTGTAATTCCAAAACTGATAAGAACAATTCCCGACGCAGATCTTCATCATCATCTGTGGCTGTGGCTACCGCATTTCGCATCTGAATAGCATTTTTGCAAAAGGCGTAAAAAACAGTTTTAAATTAATTGTTTACGCGAACACAACATCAATAAATCTTAACAAATCACAACAACAACAAGAACGGCTACAAGAACGACCAACAACAACCAAATCGAAATTGCACGGAAAATTTTTCGCATAATTCAATAATTTTTTTCCTTCGTCTATTTGGAAAAAAGTGATTTTAAACTTTAATTCCGCAAAAAAAAAAAAAATATTTTCCCTGTTCGGCGTCGTGAAACAGCAACAACATCAAAAATGACCTCAAAATGGAAATTATGTATTTTAATGGCATTATTTACGAGTCAAGTGAGTTGTGTGTGTGTGTGTGTGAAGGGGAGAGGTGTAATGGTAGTGAAATATTTTTTTTTTTTTTTGAAATATTTTGGATGCCGAACGTGGGTTGCTTCCATATAAACTATCACCTAATCTACTGGAAAAAAATAAACGTCTACGACTTAAATGTCCTTAAAAATAATTGTCTCTAAAAATGGTCGACTTTAAAATATTTTTTAAAATATTCTTTCAAAAATCCACGAATGTGGGACGGACAAAAGTTCAAAAAAAAATATATAAAAATATTTTTTTTAGAATAGATTGAAACAATATCAAGAATTGGAGGTTCTTTTATCAATTTGAAAATATTGACAAGTAAAAAAAGCTGTATGTTTGGTCGGGTCGAACTTTGAATATTCGGGACAATTTTGGCAATTTTCAAAAAAAAAAAAAAAAAAAAATAACAAAATAAAAATAAAATCCGTTAAAAATTCAGTTAAAATCTTAAAAATACCGAATGTAGCCGTATATTAGGGTCTATACGACGACGTGGACCTGCATAGGCAACTTTTGTCATAAGCCATTACAACATTCAAATGCGAAACTTGAGAAAAAAAATTCTATTTATAATGTAGCCAAAATCATCAAAATACCGAATATCGGGAGGTACCATGTGGGTTATAAAATGTGGACCTGCACAGACAACTTTCTGACATAGGCTGTAGTATCCATTACGAACTTCAAATACAAAATTTTAAATAATTCCGGCAAATAATGTCTCTAAAATCATTAAAATACCGAATATCGGGAGGTATCGTTATATGGGGGCTTTACGAAGAGGTGGACCTGCACAGACAATTTTCTGTCATAGGCTGGAGTATCCATTACGAACTTCAAATACAAAATTTTAAATAATTCCGGCAAATAATGTCTCTAAAATCATTAAAATACCGAATATCTGGAGGTATCGTTATATGGGGGCTATACGAAGAGGTGGACCTGCACAGACAATTTTCTGTTTTAGGCTGTAGTATCCATCACGAACTTCAAATACAAAATTTGAAAGAATTCCGGTAAATAATGTCCCTAAAATCATTAAAATACCGAATATCGGGAGGTACCGTTATATGGAGGCTCTACGAAGACGTGAACCTGCACAGACAATTTTCTGTCATAGGCTGTAGTATCCATTACGAACTTCAAATGCGAAATTTGAAACAAATCCGAAAAATAATGTCGCTGAAATCATCAAAATATCGAATATCGAGGGGTAGCGTTATATGGGGGCTATACGAAGACGTGGACCTGTACAAAAATTTTCTGTCATAGGCTGTAGTATCCATTACGAACTTCAAATACAAAATTTGATATAATTCCGGTAAATAATGTTGCTAAAATCATCAAAATACCGAATATCGGGAGGTACCGTTATATGGGGCCTATGCGAAGACGTGGACCTGCACAGAAAATTTTCTGTCGTAGGCTGTAGCATTCATTACGAACTTCAAATACAAAATTTGAAAGAATTCCGGTAAATAATGTCGCTAAAATCAACAAAATACCGAATATAGGGAGGTACCATGGAGGTTATAAAACGTGGACCTGCACAGACAATTTCTGTCAAATACCAAATTTGAAACAATTCCGGTAAATAATGTCGCTAAAATCATCAAAATACCGAATATAGGGAGGTACCGTTATATGGGGGCTATACGAAGACATGGACCTGCTCAGACAATTTTCTGTCATAGGATGTGACATTCATTACGAACTTCAAATACCAAATTTGAAACAATTCCGGCGAATAATGACCCTATAATCATCAAAATACCGAATATCGGGAGGTACCGTTATATGGGGCTATACCAAAACGTGGACCTACATGGCCCACTTTCAATACCAAGAGCCCTGCAGACATAATATACATTTGAGTAAAATTTTATCAATCTACTTCATTTCGTTCGGAAGCTAGAGTGATTTCCACAGACGGATAGCCGGACCGACGGACAGTCATCGACATAGAATTTTATGCTGATCAAGAATTTATATACTTATACTGTGGGGTCTAAAATGTATATTTCGAGGTTTTACAAACGGAATGGCAAGCTTAATATACCCTCCATACTATGGTGAAGGGTATAAAAATGTCGGAAATATCATCAAATTTTAGAATAAGTTTAGATTTGTTCGAATTGGTCGTCTTTGGCACTAATTATGGTCTTCAAACGGCCAATGAAACCGTCACACGCTGCCCGAATCTTGCTCTGCGGTATTTTAGTCCATTCCCGGCGAAGCGCTAACTTGAGGCGATCGACACTTTGGTATTTTTTTGTGCCAAACTTGCTTTTCAAAATACCCTGGACACAATGGTTCAGCGGATTGTTATCCGGACATTTTGGTGGCCATTGTGCGCTTGAAATGAAGCGAGGAACCTCATTTTGTAACCATTCTTGGGTGGCGCGTGCTGAGTGCAATGGTGATGAGTCCTGTTGGAATGGCCAAGGTCTGCGGCCAAAATGTTCCAAAGTGTGCCCAAAGCTTTAAAACACCCTCCAGAATATTTCCGCAATAATATTTGGCATTTATTCTGATGCCACGGTTGTTTAATACGACCAGAGAGCGATCATCGGCTGTAATGGCGGTCCACACCAGAACCATGACCGGCGCTTGAGTTCTGTTCTGGTGCCTAACCGAAGGTGGCCATCATTTTCCGCTGACCTCTTTGGCAAGTAAACACGACCATTGTGTTTTTTACAAACTGCTGGGCAACGAATGTTTTCTCATCGGAGAGAGAGAGAGAAAACCAAATTCGTTAGTTCACCACTTTCGGCTAAGCAAAGCAACTCTTTAGCTCTTTTGAGTCTATTTTCTTTCTGTTGCGGTGTAAGTTCTAGCAAATTTTTGGAATTTCAATGGCTTTACCCCGAACTCATTTTTCAATATTTGCCAAATTGTATATTGCGATATGTTCAGCTTACGAGCCATTTTTCGTCCACTGCGACGCGGATTTCGATCAAGTCGCTTCTTTACTTTTCGTAGCATTTCTGCTGATGTTGCTGTTTTCTTCCGTCCACTTTCACTTCCCTGACGTCGGGCTACACTACCAGTATCACAGTAACGAGCGATGTTACGTGACACAAAACATTTATTCACATTTAAATGCTGGAGTGCTCTAACGATAGCCATAGCCACTTGTGGTTTTCCAGCCAAATATAAAGAAATCACACTATGACGCTTGAATTCCGAACTCTCGAATAACTTTTTTTCCGGAAAATTCTCACCAAAATGTTTTTGTACTCTTGTAAATAATAGAATGAGCTGTCACTGGAATAATTTTTACAGCCTTCGAACGAGTGGCTTAGAAATGACAGAAGTCTGAATTTGGTTGCAATTTTTCATCTCGCCCAGCATTAATTCCCACTAAAACCAAATTATAACTGCTCTAAGGTCAAATGTTGCTGGGAGGTATGATCTACTTCAAATAAATAATGGGAGCTCTACTAAATATGCATAGTGGTGTAGGGTATCATATAGTCGGCCCGCCACACTTTTGACTATTCCTTACTGGTTTTTTTTAATGAAAAATCCATAACAAAGCCCAAAAAATTTAAGGTCGGACTTTTAAAAAATTCTAAGAGAATCCGTCGTCCAATTTTCCTCTAAGAAAATTTATAAAAACTCTGATGATCGTTCTTAAAATTGTATAACAAATATATAGTCTAGGAAGACCCTTCCATGAAAAATCTATAAAAAATCCGGGGATAGCCCTTTAAAATCCAAAAAAAAAAAATAAAAAAAATATTTTTTTAATATTTGATTGCTTTACTCAAGGCAAGGAGATTTTTCCAAAATCAAACATTACTTCTTAAGATTCTGGTAGTACAGTGTTGTATAAATATACATAACTATTTTCTTTTAAATTGGCCGATCCTATCTCCCTTGGTTATTTTGTGTAATTTCCTCATGCCACATAATGTCACGATTCCCCTCTCTTAACTTATTTATGGGAAATCTTTTTTTTAAATCGTCATTGAAGTCCATAAATAGCAACTATACCAATGACTTCCAGAGAAGACAACAAATAAAATGACAAATCGGAAAAAGAAGAAAAAAAGAAACAAGAGATAATTTCACAACTTTCTATAGATTTATGCATATATACTCATGTAGGCACATAGTATTGACTTGACGAAGGCTAGGTGAAGTGAATATTGAGGTGGTCCGACCAATAAACGTGGATTTTTTAAAGAATTTTTCCAAGGTCCAACCGATCAATAAACGTGGATATTCTAAAGAATTTTTTCCAAGTACCCTTCGAGCAAAAAACGTGGTGTTTTTAAAGAATTTTTTCCAAGTACCCTTCGACCAATAAACGTGGATTATTTAAATAATTTTTTCCAACCAACTTCCGATCAATAAACGTGGATTTTTTAAGAACTTTTTCCAAGGCCCAACCGAGCAATATACTTGGATTTTTTAAATAATTTTTTCCAAGGACAAATAAAAGTGGATTTTTTAAAGAATTATTTCCAACCAACTTCCGATCAATAAACGTGGATTTTTTAAAGATTTTTTCCAACCAACTTCAGATTAATAAACGTGGATTTTTTAATGAATTTTATCCAAGGACCAACCGAACAATAAACATGGATTTTTTGAAATTTTTTTTCCAAACAACTTCCTATTAATAAACGTGGTGTTTTTCCAAGTACCCTTCGACCCATAAACGTGGATTTTTTAAAGATTTATAGATTTATATATATATATACTCATGTAGGCGTAGTATGGACTTGATGAAGGCTAGGTGAATTGAATATTAAGGTGGTCCTTAATAAATCTTGAGAGAAGAAAATATAAAATTTATGGGACAACCCTAGTTTTGAAAATTGGAAAATTTAGAAATTGGCCGAATAATAAACATGGATTTTGAGCAATAAAGTTTACTTTTTAAAGTACCCTTCGACTAATAAACCTTGATTTTTTAAAGCATTTTTTCCAACCAACTTCCGACCAAGAAACGTGGATTTTTTAAA